TCCGGAGGACGCCTTTAAGTGTATGACATGAAAAGTAGTTCGTGTATTAAGGGGTCGCTGTCACTTTGTAATATAATGCGTTTGCATGTCAAGGGTCGATTTCCCGTTAAATAACTCGCGAATTTGATATTATTCACACAGCCATCTGCTGTGAGTGTAACTGCTACTAAATGAATAGATTCTTGCTGCAGTTTTGATTCTTTGTGAATCTCTTCAGTTACCTCCTAATAACGAATTTGTCACGGAGGAATAACACTTTTTAACTTTCGAAGGAACGGTAACAGACAGTGAATCCCCATTACATTCCACGTTTATTCACGCTATCTCGCTGCCGCAAGAGATGTTCACTCGACCGCGACAGGATGCAAATGACTCGCTTTTCGTTTTACGACCATGATGCAACGCAATCAGAGTACGCACACCGCCTGAGAGCAGCCAGTCACCCAGGAATTCACCATTAACAACGATTCCACAATTTTCACACTTCAATCTAAGTCCACTTCAGAGAAGAATTTTTCAGTGCACCTGGTACAACAATTTTTTTCCCTCTTCCAAACTGGAAGGGTGGAATGTCACAAGAGTTGAGAACAAACTTCCACTTCACAAAGAAAAAATGCTTAGAATTTGGGAAATTATGTTGAGATAATTTCTGTTGATCAGGAAGGATTAAGGCACGACTGTTGGGTTATGATTAATTCCTGCCTAAGGAACAGGAAAGGCATCAGGAGGTTTGCCCTAATGAATCGTGCAGTAATTAGAAACTGGAAAAGTGCCACATTTTAAAAACTTTTTTCTTTATTTTTTAACAAACTTGTTATGATCTCAGATTTCCCTGCTGGAACTGGGTTTTCAAGTTATTGTATGACATATTTTGTAAGTTAGATCATTTAGGTCGATTAAAATAGTTGTGTGTAATCATTTCTGTCTTAAAATAGACTTTATTATTTTACCCTCAGATCTCTTCCATTGAGTTGAAGTTTCGTTGACCCCAGTTTCAAACTTTGACGGTTGGCAGGTCGTCTAGGGAGAGAGTCTAAGAATTCTTAGCAACCAAATGGCCGACTTGTTAATGTTAGCAAATGAAAGAAATAGCTTTACGCGACGATCGAAGCATTCGCACACAAGCTGATCAAGATCAGTAGACCAGAAGAAACCAAAGAATAATCTCTCCATACTACATGTAAATCAGTACATTTCCAGTACGATTCGAAACATGATCGGATAAAAGAATACCTTCAACTGTTGGATACCATTCGATTTCACAAAATCTTTCACCTTCAACGCGAGAAATGGTAAAGATCAAAACTGCAAAGTTACCATCAACTGCAGTCATCAGACCTTCCTGCAGTTCGAATTCGTAGGACACTCCCAGTTGGTTTTGTAATCGAGCCAATAATTAACCGTTCACAGTAGCTCACAAGCGGTGGAGGTAGCAATTCGTTTCTAATTTCTAGAGGGAGAATGTCTTGGTGAATATTAATGAATATCTACATTTCTTAAAACTTCGAAGACGGTAGACCACACAAAACGAAAACGATGACGTATCACGACATGCTTTTCAAAAATGTAATCGCAAGACGCTGAATTAAAAGCCTTTTTCCAGGACAAAGAGGATGATTTTAACACCCCTAACAAAGATACTTCCGAAACACTTCAGATTCGAAAGTCTTTATGGACTTCCCTAGAGGGCCAGTTCGCATCTTTTAATCTATTCATCGAAAAATGTCGTCACAAAAAACTTAAATTCAATTGTAACATCAAATTTTTCAACCTTTCTCCTGAAGATTGTCGGCACTAAAAATTCTAAAAGAAACGGAAACACATTGTTATCAAAAAGGTTGACAAAGGTCGCGCAGTAGTTGGTTGGCGGGCCGACCTCTACCAAAAAGCAGCTTTGCAGCAACTTTCTGACACATTTTTTACGGAAAGTTGACAAAGATCTCACTTTCATCAAGAGATAGTACCAGTTTCTGAATCGTTTTGGAGTAACTTAATGTATCATCAACCAAAACATTGTACATACGATTAATGATCTTCTAGCTAAACAAGAATTTATCTGCAAAAAATCTCACCATTACCACTCGTAGAACTTTATGTATTTTTTTCATCTATTATCCACAAATCTCACAACCTAGGTCAACCCATCGTCTCTGCAGTTGTTCTACCGAACTTATTTCCAGCAATTTTGACGAGATGATGGCTCCCATCGTCAAACCTTTACCATCATACATTTGAGAGGCACACACTTGAAATTTTTCGCGACTTTCGATTCCTTGGCTGAGACGAACTCCTTTTCACTATGGATTTGACATTTCTTTATACTGAAATTCTCATTTTTTAAGGTCTCCTGGCCTTCTAACTTTCTTCGATCAACGTACTGTTAAGGAACCTAGTTCTGAAACACTACTCCGCCTAGCCGAACTAGTGCTAACACTCAGTTACTTTTCATTCGGGAATAACTATCACAAACAAACTAATGGCGTAGCCAAAATGATTAGGGAGATAAAAGGGTCTAGCAACTGGTTTGGATGCATCCTTGTCATTCCTTCCTACGTCGCGAAGGTGTTCTCGAAGTCGGTCATCTAGTTGTCTTCCTGTTTCACCATTTAAGCATATCTTATTATATTCAGTGCAAGTTATGAATTAGTTGACATTGGCGGAGGAGCACGTGAAGTGTTCAGTAATCTTAGTGGATCGCTTGGGTCCCGATATTTTCTCAACGCTATGAGGACAAGTTTTACATCGTCCGCGGGTACATTTGATAAGTCCCGGGTTGGTCATTAGTTTGTGATAAACTTCTGACCAAAAAGTTGCCTATGTTTTGGCCAAGTTTGAAAGAAACGCGATTCAACGATTCAAATGCAACAGGAACATAGGCAACTATTTAGTTTAGAAGTTCATTACAAACTATTACTACTCGCAACAGCTTTGTTATCATTCATCGACAGCGAGCGAAAAGTCCCATATAGAGAAAAAACGATGGGTCGAGCTGAGTTGCTAGGTTTGAGGATTTTAGGTAAAAAGTAAATACGCGAAGTTCGAGGAGTGGTGATAGTGAGATTTTTTGCAGTGGCCGGAAGATTGTTAATCGTATTTTGACAGTTTTGGTTGAAGATACTTTAAATTACTCCAAAACGATTCAGAGACTGGTACTATCTTTTCGCAACCTCCACGAATTTCATTCAAACGTGGCAAAAACAGAGGCAACTTTTTGGTCAGAACTTAATTTCAAACCAATGACTAACCTAGAACTTTCAAATGTGCTCGCTCATGATGCAAAACTTGTCCTTTCCCAGGAAATATCGGGACCCAAGACATCCATTAAGATCACGGATCATTTTACGAGCACCTCCGCCAATGTCATTCACTGCATAACTTGCACTTGTTGCAAAAAGTTAAACATTGGTGAAACAGGGACACGACTAGGTGACTGATTTCGAGAACACCTTCGCGACGTAGAAAGAAATGACAAGGACGCATCCAAACCAGTCGCTAGACACTTTAATCTCCCTAATTATTCTAACCAGCGCATGGCAGTTTGCGGCCTTTCCTTACATCTAGGCAGTTTGGAGAGCCGCAAAACACTGGAACAAAAATTATCTTCTAAATCGGCACTCTAAATCCCCAAGGTATCAGCAAGCACTTTTCATTCAACTAATTTATTCTTGTTTTGTCGTCTCCATATTCCCACCAATAGCTAGCTCCATTTTCTGCATATAAACCCACATACATCCCAAAATTCCTCCAATCGCTCTGACGAAGGGCTAACGCTCGAAACATTAGCCTTTAAACTCGCTACGGTGGCCAATTTACGTTTTTAACTCAGTTGTTAACACTAAATACCAAAAATAACAATAGTTTTACAAGCATCGCAACCATCCATGCTGAGTTAACCGGGAAATTGATCAGACGTCTTTATTTTCACCTCCCTCTATGGCTGCTTGAAAAAGGTGTTTTAATACAAACATTGCCCCTTAGATGCAGGTAATAGTAGCCAGTGTAAACGAAAAAAGCATTAAAGAGTAGAGCTAGGACGAGAAATCTGCTTAAAAAAGCGTACGAAGAGGCAATCCAAGAAAAAGCAGAGGGTTTTAATACGTCTGAAACTTAAGTTTGTTCTTGCAATGACAGGGTTGCACATTACCATTCAGCTCGAATGATGTAAAATTTACTCAACTTGAAATAGTCCTTGGCTTATGTAGGGTCTATTGAAAGAAAAAAAAAAACCAGTTTCTGAAAGTTTGGAACCTCCAACCCCTCCCTCTATTAAAATTTCCGGATCCGCCCCAATGTGCTCTGCTTATATTCTACGATCTTTGAGACTGCCTAAAAGGGAACCTTAGCATCTTTGTGTCTAAAGCCCAACTAAGCAAAGTGAACGGAGAGGGATTCTGTCATTGGACAAGGAGACGTATGTGGGGAGATTGAGAGCAATTTCCGCGAGGCCTAAACTTATAGGATTTTCGTTATCGACAGAAGAGGAGTTATATCCACTACTCATGAGTTCTAGAAAAATTGGCTCTCTAAATTACTCGGTTACAAATACTTGCCAGTACCTTTAACGATACTGTTGTAGAGATAAATATAATTGAAAAGCAATTCTCATCTTACTCATGGAAGATAACTCATTTGACGGTTGATGATTAATTACTACGCACTAGGATCAAGCATTAAAGTTATGATATCTGCAACAGCCTATTGGCAAAAGGAGTTCTCTAACACAAAGTAGTTTATTTCTCCTTATCCAAGAGTGTGGGACGTACTGGGTGAATATCGACCTTAAAGTTTCTTTTGTGCAGACTGCGAGCAGTGCTCAATACAAAAGAGGTCAACGGGCGATATGTTTCCAATGGCGGAAATAACAAATTTAATAAGTGAGGAAACACACTGGGGGAATTACACTCATAATAGAAAATGAAATTAAGTTTTCTTTCATTTCTGGCATTTCTGGTTTGTGTATTGCAAACTCAACTGATCATACTAGAGAGCAGACATCTTGAGATGGTTTCAAAACAAATTTTATTGTCATTACTGAACGGCATCAACTGAACATTTTATCCTTAACCATATTCTATCGCAATAAATACCAAGAAGAGAAATACTTTTCGTCTTCGACAACATAATTTTGATTTTCGAGGAGATTAACTTTACTGATTACCTGACGAGTTCAATACAATCTCTTATGATCAATCGACCCAAAATCTTAAAGAATTTAAATTAATTTGCAACGAGTCTTAACTGAATGTCGAAGGCCACATAACGAAATTCAATCTCAAAACAACATCAGTCAACTCAGTCAAATGACTGAGACATTCAATTTAGGGAGAGGTCCTAGGAGGTTCTGTAGAATGCAAACTGGATCGTTCCTTGGCTCCACATTTCCTTTCTGTGTTGAAATAAAAATAAAATGTGAATTAAAAAGTTTCGAAGGATTAGAGAATTTAAGTTAATATTTGAGTAGAGAAGATGCAACTCAGTAAAAGGAGCCGCCAAGTGACAGTAGTGTTGACTGAAAAGTGTCAATAAAGTATCAGCTAAGTGCCAACCGAGTATCGTCAGACATGCGTGTCGATCGTGAGGCGACCGATGTCAGTCGACATGTCAACATACTCGGTCGATATATCAGTTGAGTATTAACCAATATATTGACCAACACTTGGCGGACATATCGACCGATAGTATCGACTAATACTCGTCCGACAGATGCCTTAGGTGAACATGACCCGACAAGACCACGTTGATTGTCACAGAAAACAAAACATTACTTTCCCTGGACACTGTCCATGCCTAGAGGGCAACTGGAGCGTGTTAAAGTTATTTAAAATAACTTTTTAACTGTCTACCAATATCAGATACTGTTGTTTTAAGGGAACCATTGAAGACCATTGAATCGGAAGAGAGAATGACTTCGAAGACTATCGTTTTAAAATGTTGAATTCATCAACCCAACTAATTTAGTGAACAGCACGAGGTTTCCCAAGCTTTTAAAAGTCAATTCCCGTTTTGCGCCGAAATCAGCTGGGTCCTCAAGTTGGTTACTGTCAACATAACAGCAAGCCCACGTAGGAAAATTTCCTACGCGCATTACTTTTAACGAAGCCGTGGAAGAGTATACATCTCTGTAAAGCTTATAAAGTATAAATTATGAAAATAACAACCGTTCTGGAAGTTTTTATTTTGGTAGCCGCGCACAAGGTGTTTCCTATACTGAGTTATTAGTCTTCGCATTACTGTGGACGTCAACACAAACTGGATAGTATCACTTAGCAGATGATAGGCCAACCATGTATGATGTATGTGAGGCTTATTTGATATTCCTATTGGTTCCTGAGAAAATCTATTTTGAAGTTGAACTGTAGTAAATATTTCGGTTGTCGTCACACTTCGGGACGACACGATATAAATATTTCGAATTTCCTAAAGGCGTCACACACTTTGGTGCCTGACGAACAATCTGTCAATTTTCATGAAAATTGAACAAATGTGTCTACGTACCCTTTTAATTCGTTAAAGCAGAAGTAACTGACGTAAAAACAAACCTCGAGTTTTCGGCCTCCTGAGAAATTTACAGTTTTCATGCTACACCGAGCGATGAAAGGCAACACCCTTGGCCATTTTAGCGAATTATCCATTTATAGATTTACTACTCCTCCTTCTCGTATGAGTAGTAAACCCAGAATGGATAACTCGCCAGTATAAAATGGCTTCTTTTCAACATAATAAGCGGTCAAATAACAAGCAATGCACTATGAAAGTAAGGTAAGGTATTTCAATTGAGAATTTGACTGCATTTTTTTTTATTCCTGAGAGCAGTCGTAAACATTTCCATACAAACTCTTATAATTTCGCCAGGACTCTAATTTTGCAAGATTATCATTTTGAAAATATTGACCAGATTATGTTTGATGAACAAGTCCCCCGCAGGCAATCACTGATAAGTATCAGAACTAACCTTCATGGTCCCCAAAAGAGTTTCCATTGTGAGAAGAACTTCATATTTCACACCAAACTCTACCATACGGCATCTCCAAGGAGACGACTGGAAATTTAGGATTGTACACGGCTGCGCAGTCTCGTCCAGTGCATGACGAACTTGGAACTCGAACCCACGTCCACCAGGTAGACCAACTATGGTCATTCCAGGTTTAATGTGAGGTCTAAGGGCATTAAGATAATCTTCATGGGCAGACGCAGGAAAGACAAAGACTACGAAATCGATATCTTGCATGGCTTCACCTGGGTTCTTTGTTATTAATGCTGGTTTGGATTTGATAGACATTGGCTCCTGTCCCCTGCACTGTACCTCAACTTCAACGCTTGTGGTCTGCAATGCAGAGCTCCAGCGCTCTGCTTCATCTTGATTTAAACTCAGCACACGAACTTCAATTTCCTTCCGAGAGGACGCTATGCCAGCAAATGCGTGCGCATCAATCCCTTCGCCACAGATCAACAACTTAATGGTCTTCACACGACTGCCCTGATAATAGAATTACAAATGATGTAAACTTACTGATAATTCGTTGCTTACAAATTCTTATTGATAAAAAAGAAACAAAAGACAGAAATATTTATCAAATTTCGAGGAAAAAAGACACCACCTACAAGTGTCAAAAAGCGCTCATTGATTTTCTACGTTTCTTTTTTTGACAGCTATTAAAATTTGAAAAAATAAAGCGTGAAAGAGTTTAAAATTACCCCAAAAGCTCAAGATTAAATTTGGATGTTTGGTTTGTAGGCACAAAAATTGCTTCAATTAATTAAAACACCAAACAACATTTTATCAATACATACGTAAAATCCTGCTCCTAAACCTGATAAAACTCCCCCAACAGTCGCACCGGTTGCGCCAATGGCAGCATTTCCTGCCAGTCCTATGCCAGCAGCCCCTGCACTCTGCAGAACCGAAAAAACACCCCCTGTAAATCCTCCGTAAATTGCTGACTGTGCAGCTGCCGCCACGGAGCCAGCAGCAACACCTCCAGCAGTGAAACCAGCAGCACTAAGGACCACCGGAGCAGCTACCACTGCTGCAACACCAGTTGCTACCGCACCACCTGCGACTGCAGCTACATAGCCCCAGTTGACATCACCTGAAAAAAAATAGACCAACTACACTGCAAGACTAGATATGAAACAGTAGAGTGGAAACGCATAAGGGCACAAAGAAAAACCCTGCATATGTCAGCTAGTTGTAATGAGCAAATCAAAGGTAATTCCCTCGTTCCTGTAGAGTGTGCTGCTTCCACCACTTGTACTGAAGTTTCTGTTTTTGGTTTATTTAAATAGTTGCTGTATTGGTAGGTAGCCTAAGTATCAGTGAAATAGGATTTACCAGATATGCTGCTACATCGACAATAGTTCCTCATGTTTTTAATTCCTTTTACCTGAAAATGCTAATTTTCTCGTGGCTTAATCTGTTTTAAATTATTCCACTTCCTTTAGTGCCTGACAAACTTTGAGTTTCACTTCTGTTCCTGAGTGTTTCACATGCCCATGCATACTATGTTTTTCCTCAAATAACTACCCATGCTCATTAAACGCCCCTCCCCCGAGCAACCGCCACACCCAAGGCCATAAGATTAAACATTAGAGCCCCCAGCCCCCATTCCTCCCTCACTTTCTTAAATAGCAAGGATACCAGCAAATGTCGTTTCTGTTTCCACTTCATTTATACTTTTTAAGCTTCAATAAAAGCGGATCAGGAAAGAAGAATAATAGGTTCCCCATAAATAAGTTTCCCTCCTTTTAGCCCAGGCGTTTATCCGAGGAAGTAAACCAAATATGCAGTAAATTTCAATAAATTACCTTTTTCTAAAAAAAAGCGTTTCCATGAAAGTAGACCATTCAAATCATTTTCAAAGAAGAGAAAAGTTTTATGAAAGATGAAAATCGCTAATCTTGTGTCGCAGTTGCGCAAACATGCTAGCGGATAGGATTATACAAAGAACCTGTGCATGAAGAGTTCTCAGTTCCTGGAATCTGTAAATATTATAAATGACCCTGAAATATTTCAATACAAAAAATGTATTCAAAGCAGTTCTTGAATTGCTATTAGAAGCGAAAAACGTACGAACTTCTGTAAGGACGATACCCATGCATTTGAATTCACCACGCTCAGATCGTGGTTTACTTGAATTCAAGGCCAGAAAGTCATTTGAGGACCGTCATACTGGAAAAAATCGGAAACGTGTACATTTGACAGAAAATCTTCAGCAATATTAAACACTTCTATTCGGAAATAACATTAACCGGGTCTTGGGGTCTTCAAATTGTTGCTAGGCCTGACTTGACATCTAACAATTCGGTTTTCACTTTACGGCCACGGTTCGCATCGCTCTGGTGAATCGAAGTGACTTTGACTTGACTGATGAGCGTATTCTGTCGCGTCTAAGACTTAGATATCCATCATTTCCTAATAAAGTATTCTGTAGCATGGTTCCCTTAAATTTTGATCTCAAGAAGGTCAAATTCGATCGGAAAAGAACGGAAAATCAAACTTGAAAATTTTGAGAGTCGGCCGCGCGGACCATATTTCTCCATCATCTATTGAACACCACGGGAACGAAGATCGGTCGGATGAACACCGAATGCAAACGAAAATTCTCGAAATCGGCTATCAATAAATTTGATCGTGCACTCATCAGATTGATTGATTACCAAGTGATAACCGACTTAATTACGCGCTCTGCACTAAAACAGTAGACACAAAAACACAGAAGAAATTATACGGAAACGAACACAGTAGACCAGCATCCCCAGTTTCGAGGAGTAACAGTATCCTTAGTTGCTTTAGGCTGTAGAAAGCAGATAATTTATATTGTACAGGAACAAAACCATTAACTGCTTTAACTTACCCCCATTGGTTGGCGGAGGGTTTCCTGCTGGATCCCCTTGACTGGTTGACGAGGTCGTCTGGGAAGCTCGGTCCTTGCAAAACAAGGGGGACAGTACTTTTAACTTTTTGCTAAAACCAAGCAAAGTATAAACCAAGCTGTGGACATCACCTGTTCGAGATGCAAACAGTTTTCAGAGAGCAAAGCTTGAGGAAAACTGAAACCTTCAAGAAACAGGTAATGTCCATGAAGAGATAAACAAGGATGTTTTAGTGCCAAATGGAGGCTATTATGTTTTTTATCCTTCAAAATCTTAAAAACACCTTAGTTTTTGCTTTGTGGGATGTTTACTTCTTGGTGTTCACTGGTATGACTGAAGCAAAAAAGAAAAACATTCCTTCCTTTGTAACAACTGCTTAACACTCTCTCATCTTGAATTAAATTTTTAACAAACGCTAATTTTATCAAAGCAGGTGTAAGGTTGAAAACTTGGAGAATATCACTTAGGGTATATCCTCAGATATTCCCCAGTTTTAGCTGGGGCATATTTGATCATGTATAAGCAAAGCTATTCAAAGCCAGATTATAAAAGTTAGATTTCTACATGTGTTGCTGCATACTTGGACAGCATTTCTGCACACAAACACAGAATTCATTAATCAAATAAGATTTGCTAAACAAATTTCTATTTGTTTGTTTGTTTTCTTTTTTAATAATGACGATGCCATTTCAATTTAAAAACAGCATCCTCCTGATCATAATAAGAAATAAGGAGTTACCCCACATGTTCATTTGTTCTATCTCGACAAATAAATTAAGCTGTTTCCTGTTACTGGGATTTAGCACCAGTTGTGAACAAAACTGTGTTTAACTGCCCAAATCTTGTCCCAAAATAACCTTTTCTTTCAACTGTGTAAAAAATATTATTTCAAAGTTTATTCTTGAATGTTATTCACTTGTATAGGCCTTTTGATATTGTTTGCATTTGTACGTCTATTTTAACTCTGCATATCATTATCACTGAAACAACATTAGTCTCAATACTGAGCCAAGTCCAATTATCAAGCAACAAATAAACCAGTGAATAAATTAACAAATTAACAGTCATATCATGCCTAAAACATTTCTCACTGAATATATAAATGCTTTCATCACAAACATCATGAATTAATAATTAAGTTTACTGTGAAATTACACTATATGCTAAAATATACTCAGATAAAATATATATCTTTCAATTTCATTGGTTACAGTTATCAATAAACATGATGTTTCCACAATTCATTTCATTTCTTACATCTTTCATGGAGATCTGATAGCAATGATTGAGGTACCTATCACAATGACCTTATAATTGCCTGTAATGCCTTGACAACTTTTAGGTTGTCAATCCAAATTGGCCTGATTTATCTGTAGTTTTGTTGTTTAAGTATATGTGCACACACTGTTCTAGTCCCATAGTGAAAACTCAAGAGGAAGATCAAGACAGTGTCATGATATAGTGGTAAGTCTGGTTGTCCGTCATTTTTGTCATTTATCATGATTGAAAATTAGGTAAGTCCCTTATAGAGCCAACTTCTAGCTGATAGCTTTACTTGTGGATTGTAACCCAAATTATAATAAGAGAACCCCTCAGAATAAAAAGATGTGACAATATGCTGCCCTTCGTCAAATGAAAACTTCCCCAATTAGGTGAACTGAAATTTGTATTAATAATTCAATTATGAAATTTCCTTTGATCTCGAAATGTTCGGTTGCTTGTGCAGAAATCGCAAGAACTGGTTCCTAGCGTAAATCTTGGTCATCTTGAACTGCAAATTTAAATTTTTTGGGCAAAAAACAGAAATAGGAAGTCTGGAAAATAGAAATGACTTCTTCAAAAGCTGGTTACATTTGAAGCGCGTTTAAAAATTTCCCAAATGCTCGTGAGATCTTCAATATCTTTCCGAAAAATAGCTTAAGGGGCTGTTCACCAGAAATTAACCGACAGTTTTCTCATCTTAAAGCTATTTGAATCACTTACACGTCCTGAGATTTGCTTCTTTCTGTCGGTTGTTCGGTTCTCTCCTTCGTCCGCCATGATTTCTCAACCCAATCACGCGCTTGACTTCCCTAAACCTGATTGACGATTATTTCACTTCCGGTAAAATACTTGGAATTTGTCCGGAAGTTGCGTCTGTCCTACCGTGCAGACACAAGAGATTTCGAATTTTGTTCAAGAGTTGCGATGCAACGAAAAAAACCCAAGAAGTGAGCGCAGCGAACGAGTGAGTGAAACAAGTGAATAAAAATCTTTGAAACACTTTCCATGGTACGGTACATACTGAGATTTTCCCTTATTGACCGATACATTCCAAAGATTGAAAGCGAACGACTTAAGGCCTATTTACACGGTACGACTTTGTCGCATGCGACAAGCTTACGACAGGCCTACGACATGACTTAGGACAATTTACACGCGCACCCCATTTTCACCTACGACATGCCAAAATCGCGTGCAATTCCACTCGTTTCGGCCGCGGTCATTGTTTCAATAATTTGCAAGAGAAGGAAAAGAACCTCTTCCTCGCTCCACAGTGATATCATATTCTCTGTTTCCTCATCTGAGAATGTATTTTTCGCTTTGGAAGCAGTCTTCGACTTTCCGGAGGCGACTTCCTCCGCCATTTTGACGCAAGAAAATCTCACCTTCCTCCCCTACTCAGTAGAAATTTGTCACAAATACGTCATTTTCTATCAATTTCGGCTACAATTGTCGCAGCGTTTTAAAACATGTTTTAAAATCCTACGACATTTTTCGTGACGTGCACGACAGTCGTAAGCGAGTGGTAGGTTTGATTTACACGATACAATTCGTGTCGTAGGCCTGTCGTAAGCTTGTCGCATGCGACAAAGTCGTACCGTGTAAATAGGCCTTTAAAGTGCTTCATTACGACTTAAAATCGTTCGACCAATCAGAGACACGAACGATAGTACAGAGTAAATCTCAGTTTGAATGAAATTTAACAAGTAGAGAAGCCTTGACTGTTCTCTCTTCTGTTGTAAAGCACGTAGGAAGCGGCTAGAACATGAAAGAAGTGTGGGGAGAAACACGAGACGTAGGAAATTGGGGAATAACCAATTCTAAGTGACAAATTGTGCCTTCGTGGACATTCCAGGCAGTGTCCGTTTAGCGTGGAAAACTGCCGCTATTTTTTGGATATTTTCAAGTGAGCAGAGGCTTCAGCGAGGTGACCGCTTCTGAAGGGTAAATCACACACAGGAGGACGAGCGGGGAACAAACTTTACCTCTCCTCCTCTTCCGCATATAACTCGGTCTGCCCGCTCTCCGTGCGCCTGCGTCTGCTTAATCGAAAAACGCCAAAGGATGAGGCTGTTCTATAGGTTAGCGTCTTTTTGTCATCTACTAAAACATGCAACGATTAAGCGAAGTTCATGGAGCATTATATTTAGGAGAGACCAGGTACCATATGTTTAAAATGACCGAAAAAGAGCTACTTTTAACCATCCAGCCTCAACCTTTGGTTTTCTTATGAGACTTCTATGAGTAAAGGTTATTTTCCACTATTCCGTCATTCCGCCATTCCGGCTGTCAGGGTCGCCCAAAGGCGGCTTCCATTGTAATTCTTTGTTGCTTCACGATCTTAAGAAAAATCCAATGCATTCTTTAGCATGGTTTGATTTTAAAATCTTATAGTGGTTAATGAAGTACAGAAAGAGTCGATGATTTTTTTTCGACGATGAACCCTTACCTGATAGTCTTCGAAATAAGGGACAAAAATAAAGCACCCGCTTCACACTCCGTAAAAGAACAGCTCAAATTTTTGCTCAGCTTTCAATTTTTCAACCTCTACCACTAGTAATTTCCCTTAATAAACACAGTCGTTTGTCATTTCTTCATCTCATCTTCTAGGTCAAAAATGAATGCAAGACATTTCGATGAGCCAAAACTTGCCGAAATTTAACCAATTTAGGAAAGAAAACAAATGCCACTTAATTCGTTTCATTGCACACCTACGCAATTCTTCTGTGGTTTTGCCTATGTTTGATCCTTCTTCATTGAAGGCTTCACTTGCAAACGAATTGTCCTCGAGGCTTTCCTAGCCTCGTCACGCAATCATTTCCTCCCATGGACGTTTGTGGAACTAGAACGAGTGCGTGACGAGCCTTAGAAGCTTGCTACCAAGAAGCCCACGCTAAAAGCACCATTGTAACTTTGCAGGATCTTGCCACGATATGTGTCATGATTCCTATTCACAGAGCCTGCTCGTATGTTGTCCGGTGAAAACCTCACTTTTTGCCGAATGGTTTAAAAATGTACATTTCGAGAGAGCTCTATTTGGATCTTCTGAGATAGCTCATGAACGTGAAAGAATAACCAAAAACGTTTTACCTCCAAATTATAGTTTTGACAACCACTCGACGACTGTCACATATAACTCCATTTTTAATTTTTTCAATCGTTGTTCTAAAGTAGGGATAAATTAGGGAAGAAAAAACTGAACATTTTTCGTAATGATCTATTTCGATTATAGCATCAATTGAATGAAACTGAAACTAAACACATTTCAAGTTTGATTGACAGCTGTTTCACTCTTAAGAAAACCAATAGAAAAGTTGATTTGAGCCTCTTTTCGTGCGAGGCGATGCAGCTGTTGCAAGAATATGATTCCTGTAAAGACTGAGGCAAGGTGACATCAAGTCTTTCTGTCAAGTAACAACTTATGCTTTTAAAAAACTGATAAATTATTGATGTCCCTAAGAGCTCCCATACAGTTTAGAGTGAGGCTCTTGATAATACTTTCCTTGTCTATCTTTCGCACATTCCTGCGAAGTATCATGAACGGATAGATACACCTTTGTCATAAAACTTGGGAAATATTTTCGTTGTGTTGCTAATTAAATATTTGGTTTGGTGATTTTTCTTCCAATCTGCCCTTTCTCTCATTTCCAAATTGGCTCCCCAAACTACTCAGATATTTACAAATGCCTGGCAGTACCTGAAACGATACTCTAGCACAAATAAATATAATTGACGATCAATTCTCATCGCATTTATGGAAATAACTCATTTACGTATTCTTAGTTTATGAAGCACACGGTTTACAATTAATTACTTCACAGTAGGAGGAAGTGTTAAATTTATAATCTCTGCAAAAGCCTATTGATAAAAGAAGCTTTTCTGACACAAAGTATATCTCCTCTTATCCAAGGGCCGCGCTGGGTGAACATCGGCCGTAAGTCATTTTTCATGCAGACTGGGAGCAGTGCTCAATACAAAAGAGGCCAAAGGGAGACATCCTTCAAATAGGGTCTCGAGCAAGCTTGTATTATTCATGTAGACGGGGAAGTAAATAAAAGTAAGAAGGTAGGAAATTAACCGAGGGAATAACACTCCTGATAGAAAAGGAGAAAAATAAAAGGGAAATCAGGGGAAATTGGAAATTTAATTTCATCAATAAAATGAAGTTTTGGAAATTAAGTTTCGTTTTATTTCCGGCATCACTGGTTTGTGTATTGCCAACTAAACTTGTCATACTAGAGAGCAGACATCTTGAGCTGGTTACAGAACTTTTAATGACTTCAACTGAAAGTTTTATCTTAAACCATATTCTTTATCGCATAAATACTAAGAGGAGAAGTATTTTTTTGTCTTCGACAACATAATATTGATTTTCGAGAGGATTAACTTTAATTACCTATTGAGTTCAATACAGTCTTATTTAATTCATCACTTGTGGAACTAATTCCTTGAGTAAAATTGTAAATCAAAGAGCACAAACTCATTGCAACACATTATTGTCTTGCATTTTGACCGAATACCAACTCACCACCTTGGCTATAAGGAGCTGCTCTTGTTTTGTTAGGGTCAATAACAATTATAGGACCACGATTTTTTCCATGTTTCCATTTAATTTACATCTGCAGTAATTTGCTACATGGGTCTCAAGACACTTCAGTTTGTTACAACAAAACATTTTTAAATATCGACCAGCCCGATAATTCATCTTTCTTATACTCTGACGAATTGTTCCACAACAATTAAACAAAAAAGTCGTCTTTTTTTGTTTTCTAACTTTGACAGTACACCGTAAATGACCACCATTTGTCTTAACCTCAGTGCTCTTGTTCTTTAGGGACTTCAAAGTTCTTATCGGTATTCTGCTTGGCTATCGATCACGCGCAAATGTGGGACGAGACTTACATAGATGATTGTTTAGATCAGTATTAGATAGCTTTGATATATTATCGATAGGTGCTTACTTTTAGTCGCCGAAACGTCAATTTCTGCGCCAGTACATGTGGCTTTTTACACGTAGACAAGTTCTCGCGTACGTGTTAAGGACATTACTGCGATTTGCCAATGAACGTAAAAATGGAAAAAAGGAACGAGACTAGAATTTCAAAACAGACCCCCTACGGGAAGTGCGTGGGTAATAATGAAGTTAACTGTGAGTTGATACCATATGCAAAATGTACTTCAATTGCTTTAAGAGAAATAGAAATCTACCATTGGGTACAGCTATCGACGAAGGGCATGAACTATTTAACTGGGTGAATGAGAACACAGTTCTTTGTTTAATGCATTCGTAGTGAGTGTCGATTTTGGGTTCATTCCATTGCAACATTTTTTGGCACCCTAATTCCCTGACATGATTGACAATTTTAAGAGGGACAATACCCTGACACTGATTGGTGCAAGCATAACCAACTGCTGTGATCTTTGTTCTGCTACCTCAGCTGGTACTTTATCTTAGCCTTCGTATGGCAGTATAACGGTAAAGCATTAAAACGTTGATTTCATCAACAGATTGATATGCTTGTGTTATTTGTTTTTTAAAAACGGAATGAACTTACAAGAGTATGTGTTTGATCGATGAAGATAATGGCGCCAAGAAGTTACAAAGATAATTGCTGTGTTATAGGAAAAAAATCCAAAACTTATTATATTGCCCACTCGATGGATAATTGCGGGCAGATACTCTGTAAAGATTCCAAATATTCATGTTTAATGTCTCAAACGTGAACCAAAGAAACTCTTAACATAGTAACGAGTCGAAACGATGATCTTGAAATGTTTTTGCGTGACAGCAGAGTCTTTTTGGTGCGAGCTACATACTGCAAATATCTGTCTTAAGACAATGTAGTGATCTTATTGGTACGAGCAACATACTGTAAATATCTTTTCAGGACGATGCTGTGGTCTTGTTGGTACCAGAACTTTATTGCAAATATTTGTTTTACCCCAATGCTGTGATCTTATTGATGCGAGCAACATACCATTCTATATGCTGACATTAATAAAAAAAGTAATTGAGTTCTTTAAAATGGGAAAATTTGAAAGTTTTAAAACTGAAAAAAGTCATGTGTCCAGGATTGAAAAAAAAAGTCATCCAGCAGCTTTTATCCTCGTGTCTTAAATTTTTTGAAAATTGGTAGAACAATAAAATCTTCCACTATGTGATAAATAATAATAATTGAACTGAGTGGAGTGAAATTTGTATAGATAATGATATGATTTCGAGTGAGCTTTGGTGTTAATAAGCACGGGTAAATTTTTCAAAGACAACACAATTGCACGAGCCCGTAGGGTGAGTGCAATTTTTCAGCCAAACAGACGCGCGTAATTTTTTCATGTACTTTATTACATGAAAATTGCTTTAGATTTCAGCCAATCAAACGCGCGTAATTTTTTCATTTATATTATTTGGTATAAAATCATACAAGTGATTTCAGAATTGAACGAGTGCGCAGCCCGAGTCTGATTTGAAATCACAAGTGTGATTTAGTATAGGTAATCACATGATTTCGAGTGCAATTTGGAATAAAGAAGCATAAGTAAATTTTTTCAAAGACAGACAAAATTGCACGAGCCTGTAGGGTGAGTGCAATTTGTGGTCCTTGAAAAAATTTACAAGTGCTTATTTATTCCAAATTGCACCAGAAAAATCATGTGACTACGTATTAATAATATACATGAAAACTACGAGATTGCTTATTATAATTATACAGAAGCAAAGCGCGCGCTGCAAAAATGATTTATTCAAACCCTGCGAGTGACATTGTGCGTTCGGTTGAAACAACCGCGTTCTATCAAAACAAAAATATACAATGCCATTTTTATATCTTTTAGGCGCAAAAAAGATCAAAGTCCGGCTAAACAGTTCAAGGAATTGTTCAGTCTGGTTTTTGTTACTTCTTTGCCCTGAATTAACCTTCTTCTGCATTGAATCACCTGAAAACTGCATTTATCTTAACCAATCAGAACTGGGTAGTTTTTTCATGTATCTTATTATAATGGTAATTGAACTTAGTGGAGTGCTATTTAGTCTGAAATCATACGAGTTATTTCAAAATCGAAAGAGCGCGCAGCGAGAGTTTGATTTGAATTCACAAATATATGATTTCAGATCAAAATTGCACTGCATTGGAAATTTCCGTCGCTCGTATACAGGATTTTTAGTCTGTGCAAATATTTCATTGAACCAGTAAAGAGCTGGTCTGTAGAAAGCTTCAAAAGTTATACTCAAACAAAGCCTTGAAATCTAATTGTTTGCTGTGTTTTAATAAAGTTTTCATATTGGCTGAGAAAAAAATGTGATTAAGAGAAAAAAATGGCGCGATTCGTGAAATAATCGCACCAATGAGAGCCAATCAGATTGCAAAGATTACCAGTGATTTCAATATGGATATAATTACGGACCAGAATTGGTCTGCACTCAGTTCAATTACCACTTTATTACATCAGGAGCCCATAACTTGATTACATCCATTTTAAAATCGCAAATTTCAGTCGCTCAAATACAGGATTATTAGTCTGTACAAATATTTTATACTTAGCTGGTTTGTAAGATAGCTGTAAAAGCTGTCTTTTATTTTCACCTAATTTGATCGGTTACATTAAACAAGACTTGAAATCTAATTAGTTTTTGTGTTTTAGTAAGGGGTTCGTATTAGCTGATGGGAAAAAGATGCGATTTAGAGCAAAAAAATGGTGCAATTCATGAATAAATTGCTCCAATGAGAGTTAATCAGTAATTACCAGTGTTTTCAAAATTGATGTAATAAAGGCATAAAACTTCCTAAATCTACAAATTTTATCAAAGCCTTTCAATTTCTGGTCCATATTTCACTTTGATGACACAGCCATTTGTTTCTCCTACAGGAGAAATGTTATAATCGAGACGAGTGATGGTAAGCAACAGAAGAATTCCGATTTTGACCCAATTGACCCGATGTTTCCTGGCGCTTCTGATTGTTTTTTTTTCGAAGTATCTTATTAGTTCGACATTTGTATTAGATATTCATTGGGCTCTCCTATTGCGATTGCTGAATTATAACCACTAGCGCATTATGTTTTCAGTTAGGCCTACTCTGAGACCTTAAGTCGCCTTAAGTCGCCTAAAGTCGCCTAAAGTCACCTTAAGTCGCCTTAAGTTCCCTTAGGTTGCTATTGGTTACACAATGTTATAAGGGTTTCAGCCTTCCCAATTGATCCTATCCACCCCACTCCAATCATAAGGATAAGAGGAGAAGGCATGGTGGCTGAATGGTTGTGCGCTGGATTCGACATTAAGCAGTCCAGTTTTGGTCTCTAGCGTTAGAGCAATGCATCTTGTTCTTGGGAAAGATACTGTAAGCTTCAAAGTGTCTCACCTATTCCGGATGTAAATATGGGTACTGGTTGGGGGGGAGGTAACCCTGCATATGAATCATTGTGAGGATGGCAATGGCTTCCATATACATGGAAACCCCTTGTGAAAATAGTCATACACCTGTCTAGCCCCTGTGCTGGCATGGGTAATTCCAACATGCAGACAATGCACTAAAGTACACACAAGGACAACATGCAGGCAAGCCTGCAAATATGGCCACCAGTCATATTTGATCACTCAACTTAGTTTTGTCCACTAAAGTGCACACAAGAACAACATGCAGGCGAGCCTGCTGGCAAGTGTACAGAGAAATAACTAATTTATCTGTCCCAAAAAAAATCATCAAAAGCTTCAAAATAATTCACTCTGAAAGTTTAACTGGGTGATCTGAAATTAATGTCTGATCTAGAAAACCTCTGTTTCCTTTGAACTGATTGAATGAAGCTACTATGTATCAGCCTCCACAAAAAACAGGACATTCTTAATGACCAAAAAAACGTCTTTCTGAATCAGCACTCAATATTGAGGAGTTTAATGTTAATGAAACTTCAGTCATCTTTGAATGCCCATCACAACTTGGAAGAATTAATTCTAAATGTGAACCTAACAGTTACTGGTTACCTAACTCTGAATAATTAATGTTTACGGCAATACATTTGTAAATTTGTGACTTAACCTATATTATAGTATAGGAATATAGACATAAACAAGAAATATTAAACCTTTGAAAAAGCATAACACTGCGTCCCAACATTTGACTGACTGATCATGTCTTCATACTTGGGCATTGTCAAATAAAACATTAATAAATATTTGTGTCAGTCAGATGGTATAGTGGCACAGCAGTTGTCAAAATCTTCAAGACCTACTATGTTGTAATTAAATACCTTCAAATTAATTGTGTTACCAAGTTTACCAACTGCTCTATAATTATGTCTGCATCCACACTCCGCAGTGGTCAAATGCACTAGTTCCTGTAACATCTGCTATTCATGTCTTAATTTTTCTCTAATCCTCCTCATCAAGCTTAATGATAAGACAGTAACTGAAAAGATGAGCTTTGTTTGCTGCATGTAAGTTAATGTACCAGGTAAATGTCAAATTCACTTATTGAATTTGAAGTCATAATAAAATGATGGTAACAATTATTATCAATTATTTATGTTTCTGTATCTCACTCTGTTTTTCTCGACACTTCTTCCCACAAGTTTAACATAACTCGGCTGCAAATGTTGCAAAACATAGAAATAAACTTAGAAGCTCTTGCATGTCGTTGTTGATCCCTAAAGTTGTGAAAAAAGAACGGATGTCATTTACCCACGCGATGCAGATTGCGGCTAATGGAAAAAGTTAGATGGTTCTCGCATTTCAATGCTTTCTATCAATTTATTAACTGTTTGAGCTATAATTGACCTCGGACAACAGATCGCTTAAATCATCTGTTAAATTGCAGCGCGAACTATAACGCGTTGGTTCCATTCGCCAACATTGAGTGTTTTGGTATCTGCTAATGATGGCGTCCAAGTCATCCAACTTCCTCGATGGCCTGGAATTTTATTTCATGACCAAAAAGCCTAACAAAGTTCAGAGATTTGAAGGAACTGTGAACAACCGCTTCATGATCAGTTTGCTTGATGTTGGGCATGTAACCCATGATGTTTTCTTGGCTATTTATTAACAAGCTTTGACTGTATAATTTTACAACAACTATTGTGGTAATTCTGTCTAAGTATTTTTAGCTAAATTGATTTGAAATATGGATATTTTAGACTATGGTGACTTATGAGCATACCAAAGTAACCGAAATGACTGTTGTGTTTATTGCAAGTGAGTCTGTAGACATTTTTAAAGTTTATGGAAAGACTTTTGCTAACTTTGGTTTTACTGCTTCAGTCAAATAAAATCGCTTTAAGTCGCTTTAAGTCGCCTTAAGTCGCCTATGGTCGCGATATTTTTTGTGCCAATTTTGCTAAAGTCGCCTAAAGTCGCCTTGAATCGCCCAAAGTCGCCTAAAGTTATGGCAACTTAGGGCCCAAGAGTAGGCCTTCAGTTCTTGCCGTGACACGTGTATTTGAATCCAACCTTTTCCTTGCAGAAATATTTCAAAGGTGTGGTCTGTGCATCATCGTATTCCAAAACCATTAAAAAGATTGATCTACGCATAACCAAGAATTCCATAACCAAGAGTCTCCAAGGTAGGACATTTAAAAGTGTCGTTTATATTAATAATGTTCTTTTGCTTGAGTTGAGAATTTCAAAATTCATTCCTATCAAAAATTTTCAATCATCTCGAGCAACTTCTTTTAAACAGAAGAAATAAACGCACACAAAATACTGAAAATAAAAACTCATTCGACATTAACAGCTAGATTTTATGTGCTTTTAGAATTCTCGCAAAATTATAAATGCCCGTGAGATATTCAATATCACCCTGCAAAATAGCTTTAACTTGCCGTGAAACATAAATAAAGTTTTCTAGTCTTACAACTATTTAAATTACTTACATTTCCTGAGATTGGTCGCGTTATGTCGGTTGTTTTGTCCGCCATAATTTTCTGAGCTCCGAGTATCAGTGCACGTGATGTTTTACCACACTGTTGTAGTCGGCTACCTCGCTTTCAGTGAAATGCTCAAACTCCTAGAGCCTCCCGTTTACGCTTTGTATTCGAGCTAGTTTCCCCCAATAGTCCAACAATATAAGACCACTGATTAAAACAAATTTGAAAAGCAGTTATTTGCAGAGTCTTTCTGTGGTTGTCGAAACTGTAATTTGGCCATTATTTCACTTTCATGAGCCACATGTATCCAAGAAGATCCAAATAGAACTCTCCAACTATTTTTGAAAAAGTTACATTTTCAAATCATTTAGCAAAAGATCAAATTTTCCCCAACAAATATATGGGCTGGCTCTGCGAGCATGGCAAGGTGGTGGTAAGATCCCACAAAGATAAAGCGTTGGGGGTTGCCCAATACACGCAATAGATTCCATTGGAAAAAATATTTTTTCCATCCATTCGCTGGCTAGAAAATTCTGTTTGTGCTTCAGATAACCACTTCTCCCACGACAGAAGCAAATGTAAAAGTTTTCATTTTGATAGGAAACTAAAAGACATGGAAATAATAAATTACTCCCGGGAAAGGAGGAAATTGACTCTGCTTGAGAAAATCGACATTGCCAAGACGCTAAGGGTTGTATAAACTAACAGACAATGCTTCAGTTTTATCGTTACCTGAAAATTTCACCAGAAGGGTTGATAACACCTTATTGAATTTTACACAGGACAACAAACCACATAAAATTTTAGAAAAATACATGAATCAGAGACAGGAAAGAAGGTGAATTAAAAATGATTGAGTTCGATTCTATGAACAAAGCCTGGGAAAGAAGATTTAATACAGTGGGAAAAGCGCCTTGGAAAATCATCCTTAGGCGGTTTAAGTTCTTACTATCATACAGTTATAGAACCAAAGAACTCAAGTTAAACAGCATCCCAAAACTTAAATAGGTGAAGACAAAACTGACGCCATAAGATGGAGCAACCATGAAATAAAAATCGCAACTAAGCCAATATTTTATATGTCATGGCGTAAGGCGGATATTACAAAAGTTAAAGACCTCTCAAACCTTATAGTGGAAAATTTCTAACGAATCAATAATTTGTTAACCTAGTTAAAGTAAAGTCCTGTTTACTACAGAATAAAGGGGTAAGTTTCTAAAGAAACTGTGGTGCTGCGTCGGTGGGAGAGTATAGCAGGTAATTTAGTGTTAACAACTGGGTTGAAAACGTAAATTAGCCACCGTAAAGGGTAAAAAAGCTGACGTTTCGAGCGTCAGCCCTTCGTCGGAGCGATTAGACTTAGACGCTCCGACGAAGGGCTAACGCTCGAAACGTCAGCTTTTCTACCCTTTACGGTGGCTAATTTACGTTTTCAACCCAGTTGTTAACACTAAATTACCTACTGTTTACTACAAACTATGATCTTCTCAATGCGATTAGCAATAAATGGAAAATTTTGCCTACTGATAGACAGAGGCGGACATGAAAACAGAGCTGGTACGACAGTGAAAAAACTCTTTTTAGCGCTGCTCTGTACAAAATAATTGTTGAAAATAAATTCCAACCACCCACCAATGAAAACTGAATCAGTCATGGAGTGGAGCCTTCTGTAATCGAAAAATTATATAACTGCCTTTTTCTATTAGAAAAAATACAAAGTTATTATTGTTCCAATTCAAGATGTCAAAATCTCAGTCAAGCTACATTTCTAAATGAAGCTTGACTGAACAATCTTTACTCTTCTCACTTTTTGGAGATGCACCTTTGAGAAAAAAATGATACATTGTGCTGTAAAAAAAAACTGCCAATAACAAGACAATTTACATTTAAAAAGCAGTAAAGTTTGTATCATAACAAGGTCACCCTTAGCTTCATTAATAAAGATGGCTGCCTATACTCCCTCCAGAGAACGCAACGAGTCCGGACTGTTTTTCTTTTCTGACAATTTCAAGATAATGCTTTCGACAGTATCTTAATCCGAAAAGGCAGAAAGATGCAATAACTTGTCATTTGAGGATGTTGATCACGCACCTGATCGATTGAGAACTGCTGCAGAGACCATTCAGTTACTTACCACAGATATTGGGAACAATAAAGATTTCACTGATGTGGCATCAATCCTAAACCTGTCTGATTAAGGCTAGGAACTTGATTGATCAGCTGCAACAATACAGAAATGAGATGTTAGATATTTTTGGTGAAAGGGCATGTAGCAGCCCACCCGATTCAAGTAGGAATAGTCCTGGGCGCCCACCTTATGTCATTGAGGAAGAACAGATACGTTTAAGAGAGATGCATTTTTCCTGGAAAAAGATATCCGATTTACTTGGTGAAAGCGAGAGTACCCTCAGAAGGAGGAGATTAATATTTTGATCAACAAATGGCATTCCTGGAGAATCATTGCAACCCCTTGCAAGAAAATGACAAAAGTGGTGAAAATACATACCTACGTACTTAAGTTGTTTAAGAATTTTGTGTTCTCTGATTTCACAGGATATATATATATCAACTGAACTGACTTTAGTTGCAAACTTGTATTTAGTATTAAAAAAGTACTGTAGAAGCTAAAAACTTTACAAAACATAATGCGTTTTATTGCACGTAATGTTTTCAAAAGGGAACTTTGGATAATTATGGACCTCATTGTATTTTAATAAATCTAACAATAAAGTAACTGTTTGAAACCCAACAAAAGAAACCTAACATAATTTCCATCAATTACTTTTTCTGACAAAATTCACACTAAGCAGCCTTGATAACACAAGACAAAAATGTAAAAATGTGTATGACGTAAGCAAGCACACCATTCTTGTAATGACGTAACTCAACATGAAATTACATCGTAACTGAACAGTCTGAGAGCAAATGAAGCCTATAAAGATGCACATATACCCTCATGAGAACAGTTTATGGTGTATATTTATGCTATTTGTTCACACTATATATTCACAGACATATTCTTGCAGTCTATTTTTTTTAGTCAATAGTAACACTTGATGATTGCTTAAAATTGATTGCCATATCAATCATAATTTGTTTGTCTTCCTCTTTTTGGCATGGTGCTCAATAGGCCATTTCACAGTGTACTTAGTTGCCAAGCCTTTGATTTGGAGTGAGGCTGAAAGGGACCTTGCTGTGATAGAGACCAGTATCTAGTTAGCAAAATAACAAGACAATTTACATTTGAAAAGCAGCAATGTTTGTGGCATAACAAGGTCACCCTTAGCTTCACTCCTGTTAAAAGGCTTAGCAACCAAGTGTAAGAAACAGCACTTGGGTATTAAACGGAGATTTATTGTAAAACAACTATATGCAGTCGAGCGACGTTCTACAATGTTTTAGGAACTCCAGCACACGGTTGTGCAATCACGCGTAAATGCATTTCATTGGCTGAATCAACAATATAACAGAAACTCGTGTGGTTAGATATCACATAGCAAGTCACGCAACTTGTCACACCAAGCATGCAACTGTATTTTACATGGTTGAACAACCAAACCCCATTTCAACTCAACTCTGTTTTCAAACTCCTTTGTGATATAGTCCAAGGAAATGAAAGGGTTAATTTCTCATTATAAAACATTCATAAGGAGACAAAATGACAAGACAAAGCCAGGACCAGAAAGAGACAGTCAAAAGAAAGAAAACTGTAATGCAATTTGTGAATTTAATTTGCAACTCATTAGTGTAATATTTTAACCACACAATGGAGCCCTTCCTAGTGAAGCTTACTTGATAGGATAATTGTTACATTTCAATTCTTGGTTTCATAATGAGAGAGTCATGCCAGTCCCCTGTATATGTGGATGTATCTCATTCCTGCATTTATTTTTTTTCCTTATCTAGAAAATTGGCTTCCTTTTTATGAAAACATCTGGTCTGTGAAGTATTTCATCCACATATATTCTCTAGGAGTCATCTCTATAACACAGTAGGAAACTGGAGAACTGTTAGTGTGAAAAACTGAATTTGAATTTCCTTCACTCATCTTTAGCAAACTGCATGAAATGTGTTTACTTTTACATACTTTTTGAAATTGTGATGCCTTAAATTACATTTTGGTTTTGAATGACCCTGCTGATGTTTTAGGACATTTCTGACCACAGAAAAACCAGCCCAAAAAAGAAACATGTTATTATTACATTCTTATGTGCTCAGTATTTAATTTCCTGCAACAACACATTATTTTATGCACCTATAGGTATGTGCAATCAATTACAAATGTTCCCAACACATGAAAGTCATTCAACTGTACAAATTACTCATGGGGGGGGTCTGAAGAACATTTTGGTCCCTCCGCACATGGAGCAACCTTATTCTTGATGTAAGTGCTCACTGCTGCACCCGAGGAAAAGAGAGCCACAATTGCCTTGGCTCCCATGCCAGCTGCACCTGCACTTTGAAGTCCTGCAAATATGCTGCCTGAAGCCACAGCTCCCCCGTACACTGCAGACTGGATACCAGCGGCGACAGAACCTGCAGCAACACCTGCAGCTGTAAATCCTGCTGCAGAAAGAACAAAAGGGGCTCCAACTACTGCTGCTGCACCTCCTACTAAGCCGACAGTAGTATACTCTTTCCAGCACCATCCACCTTTGTTTGAATCATCTAAAAAAAAAAAAGGGTGTTTGTTAAACAGAAAGGCACATCTGGTTATGGGAAAAAGGGTGCAAGATTTTGCAGAATCTATTTCTGTGTCAAGTTTGAGATTGTTGAAATTGTATGTAGTAAAAACAGGGAAGGCCTTCAATTTCAAATTAAATTTAGGCTCAGGGGTTTTAAGTGGGGGAGAGTCCTGTGATTTAAATAGAATGATGTTTCCTTAAAGGGGTATAAGAAATAAAACAATTTACCTCTTCTATGGGTTAAAAGTACTTACTGGTAATATTAAAAGTCTCAGCATACCAAGATGAATTATTGCGAAGCAACAGCTGTAATAAATTGCCCAACTAAAACTGGGTCTTTGGATATGCATTTCTTAACAGTCCTACGCAGCCGAAACCGCGACTGCAAATTATTTTAATTTCCATTTGGAACTCAACGCTTCTTTCAAACGTTATGCTGAAGTTGAGGTGTGACGCCGCACGAGACAGTAAACAGATGCAGCCATTTTTAAAATTCTAATTAAAGGCAGAAATTAATTTTTTAATCGAAGTCTTCCTTGGCGTTGCCGTCCTGACTGCTCAAGGTCGCTATTAATTGAATTACTTCGTGCCTAAACATTGACTCAATTATATTCGAAATAACCTTCTTTACTTCGTAAAAGTTAAACAGCTGATATTAAAGGACGCAAGTCATTCACAACTGTAAAATGAAATAAAAATCATGTTTCTATAAGGCCAGTAGTCCAGCAATAGTCAGTAGTCGGGATCGCAATCATTAAGAAATTCGGAAATGTTTAGAGTTAAGGTAACCACCCTTTCGATACATCACGATTGTTGGCGACATGTAATGTTTTCTCGCAGATTTACATATAACAACTCTCTAAGATGCAGGAGCGTCGATTAACGACGAAATACCGTAATGAGTTACCGGCAGACACAACACTGGAAGCTGTTGCACGGTGCACAAAGTCGCTGAAAATATTTTCCCCTTTTGAAGCAACAAACAAATTTAGGAAAAGCAGTGGGGAAGTTGAATGCTAAAATCTTACTTTAAAACAGCGTTTATGTCAAATAGGCTTAGGAAATAGTTCTCATTTAATTTAAGGCGTGTTCCAATTCAACGGTGGATACAAAACCGAAAGTTTGGCAAATTTCAGTTGCTTGGACTTACCTTCCGCCCTTATTGGTGACAAGCATGTTATGATAAGATAAATACAAAACTTGGTAGAGTTTTTCATGATATGTGGTGGATAAGATCCTCTTACTCCTTCCCGATTACAAGAATAACTGCCTATTGCTTCTGGTCGGCAAAAACCGAAAATGCTGTAATGTGCATATTAAACTGTTGACGATGCACGCTTGGATTGCATAATAAATTTTTCCGTGACTGCGTTAATTGGTGACCCAGCAGACAAAACAATAAGCCACGCGCATATCAAATTTCCGGATATGTCCTGTAAAGGATCGTTGCAAAAACAAACATGGCGTTCCAACACCGCCAAAATTCAATTGATCAATGTTTATTCAAACATAGAAACATTGACTTGTGCTGTGCAATATTTGCTGTTAACTTTCAACTTGTGATTCAAATATTTAATTATGCGCTCCAAATAGTCAGTCAATTAGGTTAAACATTTAATGATAATCCTCAAACCCTTCATGTAACATTTGAATGTTATCCTCCAATAAGCGGGTGTTTGATTTAAACTTGACATCCTTTATCGAAACTTTCCCCTTGAGTATTCAAATGTGTAAATCACACTTGCATGTCGGACATTCATCATTCGATTCAAACATTCAATTCCGACATTCAATGTAAATATGCATGTCGAACATTCGATGTAAACATTCAATTCAAACATTCAATGCGAACATTCAATTTGAATACTCATTGCACATAATGTCAACTTTTATTAACATCGGAATCCCAATCTCACCTTTTTCTGATTTCATTCTATCTTTGAAGCTTTTTGTGGTAGAAAAAGGCAATGGCATGAGATTACTGTTGTGTTTTCCTGCTGAGCGATGAACGCTTGCATTTCAAGTAAAGTGTTATGTCACGCATTCGAATCTTTCATCGTAAACGTTCAAGTGAATAATTGCATGCGGACGCCGAACGAGAGCTCTTAAATGTTGAAGACGTTGTGCTTGCAAGCACTCTAAATTTTTGGTACTGAAAATTTGCTTCATTGTTTGTAATTTATTTCAAACAATTTTTTGCGCTCTTTGGCAGAAGAGGCTATTTTGTCTGCTTCAATTTATTGCTACAGCTTTCTAGCATAAATCGAACAGTTACGTTATGTAAACATTCAATTCGAACATTCAATGCAAACACGCAACTCCAGCATTCTAACCTCCAGTGTAAACATTCAACTCAAACATTCAATCCAAACATTCAATGCGAATATCCAATTCGAACATTCACTGCAAACATTCAATGTTCACGCGGTTCAGTGATCTGGTGCCGAAATTACGGCGCGAGGACGAGGCTAAGTGCGAACGCGCCCTCATCGATATGGATAGTGAAGTAAGAATGTTGCGGTAGTGAACTGGGTATGGGACTCTGAGAATGGGCTTAGCGGCGGCTTTTAACTATCCATTTCCGTTCATTCCATTTTTGTACGTCGTTTTAGCCGATAATCTGTTCTTATATTGCCTAATAGGCCTGTGAAACATTAAAGAAATTTGCATAAATTTTTGCTACAAGGTTCTGCACCAGCTGTAGTTTCTTTATTTTCGACTTGGATATGTTACCCCAAATATTCCCTACTGGAACATGCGGGGTAGGGAGGTGAGCCCTCTCCACATTTTAGTTTCGCTGGAACTGAAGGCCCCCTGACCCGCTGCTTAGGACGTGAATTATTTCTCTCTATATTCTGTAATTTCTTTCAATAGAGAGATTGAGCGACAGAGGGGCTTTAGTTCCCCAAAAGCCTTCGATTTCAAAATTTCTCGACAACGAAATGAGCCTTTTCACTCAGAAACGTATGAGGGTCGACATATCTTTTTCCAATGGTCACATACGCCTCTCACGCGCCTACTTTTTCAAACGAAAAGAGAGCGGGAACGAACAACCAAATTCGAGGCCGTTGCCGTGCTGATCGCGGGCTTGTGCGAGTAATCGACGACAAAACTTTTTTTAAAAATTACCCTGGAGGTAGGAAGGGGTAAAGGGGGGAGAATGGAGGCAGGGAATTTCCTTTTTATTCTATTTGCCAGCCTTTTTCCATTAAGCTTAGCCAGAACGCGTTAATGAACGACGCCGCGGTAGCAACAGTGCGAGAAAAGGAGGATCGACTTGGTCGAGTCACAAGAACTTTTCGAGTAAGAGTCCTATTGAGGCCAAAATCACTCGTACTTGTCCAACACACTCTCTTAAACATTCTTCAACAAACGAAAAAAACTGAAGTATTGAAGCGAAGGTAACAATTGGAGCGAAATGAACATTTGAAGCAGTTGCTAAAATAAAATAACAAGTAACAAGTTACCTATAATAACCCGTAAAGAAATCGACAAACAGGAAACAACATAAAAGACATCTTAAGACTCTTACAAACGTTGTACGAGATGCTGGCCGGTTAAAGATAACATAAAACGATGAAGAAAACGATGGCACAGTGCAAGTTAAACGATAGAGCCAAATGAATAAAATTTACGGTAAAGAACTTGTACGAATGACCCAAACAAAGAGAAACTTGCTCTGTCAAAAAATCGATGAAAGTAAGGTGCGTGAAAACAAAAGAACTTATTGAAAAAGCGACAAAGGCGAAAAAATGAATAATGTCAAAATAAACACCCAATAATTTTGACGATAACATGTCCTGAAACCACAAACCATGTAGTCACTTGATCAGATAAAAAAAAAATATCACGGAAATACCAGAAGAATTCCAAACAATGAAATAATCACGTGAAAACACGAGTGACCAAATCACTGTTGTTGGCTGGTAATTTAGTGTTAACAACTGAGTTGAAAACGTGAATTGGCCACCGTGAAGAGCGTTAGCCCTTTGTCATCCAATCGCTTCCTATTGTTAGAAAAAATGACGCCAGGATAGAGTTTCTATTCACCCGGCAGTAAACTCGAAATGTACAAATCAAAAGGAGCGAAACAAGCGAGGAGATCTGACTGAGGGAGATAGGTGCAAATGAATACCGAAATTACAAATTAGAATAGGAATAATAATATCGATAAACTCCATCATGAGACGAATCTATTCTGATGGATGACTTTGGACAAAGTTTCTACCCTTCCCGATATAAGTCTGACTTTTTAAAGTGGTCAGCTCACGAAACCTTTGGGGGGTGGGGTGGGTGGGGTGACCTACACTTAAGTTCTCCCTAAGGATGAAGTAGTTTTTTGAAAATGTAAACTGCAAATTAGACAACCTTCTCGTTCACGTCTAATACACACCAATACCTCCAAGTCGTAAAACGTGGTTATCCGAAAAGATAGGAAAAGCGAGACAGCCCGCCGTTTCAGAGCATGCCAACAACACCGGACATAAGCCACTCAGAAACGAAGTAAAGTTTATTGATCATGACCCTCATTACTACACGCGCAGGGTCAAAGAGGGAATTCATATAAGACTTCACCCTGAAAACATCAACAGGGATAGTGGAATAGAAATTCCAGAAGCGTGGATGTCCAAGATCAAAAAACACAACAACAGGAGAGCCGTGAGAGCAAATCACTGAGTGAAACAGCAAGGATCGAAATGCGCCAAGCAGAGCTGTTGAAAAAACAACTGATCACAGCAGAGCATCATGCTTTATAGGATCACGCATGACCAGTCGACCTCATCGCCTGAAGAAGACTAGCAGTATGCAGTCGAAACGTCGCGATCTACATCACACGTGACTACATCGTGAGACAAACGAAAAACCTAGCTTTTATTGTTATTTTCCACGACGAATAACCACAACCTCTTTTACACAGCATTACTGATCAATGGTAAGGTCAAGATGGTTGAATATTCCCCGAGTTTTTTTTTTTCGTGTTTTTAAGGACCGAGGCGAAATCAAGGTCCACAAAAGCACAAAAAAAGAACAAGGGTAATATCCAGCCATCCTTGCCAAACAAGCTTCTTCAGAATAATAGCACACAGGCGCGGGTAGCTTCGGGTGCTGAACTCGATAGCTTAAGAGTGAGCGCCTCGTGAATCCACAACATTTTGACTACTGTGATAAAAAATGTTGGATAAGAATACAGACCACGCTAAACCAATGACGATTTGTCAATTGGCAGTGGACATTCCGTAAGGTGGCTCTTCTTGTCCTCGGTTTCTAGGTCGAATTGAAATATAGAATATTGCGGAGGAAGGGAAAACTTGAGGACCTGGAGAACAACCCTTGGAGCAAGGACGAAAACCAGCGACAAACTCAACCCACATTTGACACCGGTGGCCCATTTCTCAAAATACCCTGTAACTTAACGGGCCCGGAAAGCTGTTCTGTGTTCTGTTTTCATCCAAGAGAAGGATTTAAAAAGTTTTGAGAATCATGCGATAAAGCTTTCAGCTAAAGAAACAAAATGGACTGGTTAGGGAGCCAGAAACTGCTTTTCTATTGTTTAGGGACGGTTTATATTCTCTTGTTACTAGTTTTTGTTTGATAGATTGGCTGTACTAGCAATGCTGAATAATCAGAGAGACTTTGAAGGGAGACTTGCAGTGAAGGAACTCTCGTGAAAGAATTAAAGTGATTGTCGCATTTTTTAGGGGTTAAATAATTTGTTCGGTATGTTTATCGGCTATCCCAGCATCTGCCTAGGAAATAATAGATTGCAAATGAAAACTGTAGGATTGATAACAAAAAAGTGTCTCGTAACAAAGACAATATCGTTATTTATGCATTTAATGTTACTCTGGTTTCAAAACGAGACCGAGAACGTGGGGCACAGCTGGTACAAAACTAAACACATAGTTTAAGTACTCTGTCGTCTTTATTTTCATGTACTGCGATCGCTTTTTCCCCGTTATCATCGTTGGCAGTACATCTGCATTCACTTGTGTCCAACCGCACGAAGAATCAACAGAAGACATCCAGTTGTTCTATGTCATCTTTGAAGTGGCCATTAAAACTGTCCCAGAAAAAGAAAGAGATTTAAAACATAACATGGTGGCAACGAGTTTACAAAAATAACAGCGAAATTATTAGGACAAAATAAAACAAGTTTGAAACGCCTCGTATTCGATGTGATAAAGGACCGAAGTAATTCATTTGGGTAAAAATGTTGTGAAGAGGTGAGGTACGTTCAGGTGATTTTGATATAATTCTCAGTATATAGTTTACAAATAT